AGGAATCCTGTAATGGGAATTCTGGAGTCCTGGTGTGGCGCTGTGGGCTAATGCATCAGACTGCAAAGTCGTTTGAACTGCAAGGTCGGTGGTTCAAGCTCACCAGCTGCTCCTTGGAAACCCTATACAGGGTCGCTATGGGTTGGAATTGATTCATTGGCACTTAACAACAACAATGGGAGTCCTGGTGTGGCGTCTTAGTAAAAGCACTCCACCTCAAGGTCGGTTTGAACTGCATGGTCAGTGGTTCAAACTCACCAGCCGCTCCTCGGAAACCCTGTACAGGGTCGCTATGAGTCAGAACCTACTCGATGGCACACAATAATAACACTGAAAGTCGATTTCCAAGACTGCCCCATCTTTCGACTTTGAGAGCAGCTCGTTGGTCTAGATGCAGCGCTTTAGTTAAGCGTCAGAACAGACTGGAGGGCGCTTAATAACAACAACGATGGCTAGCTACCCAGCGCTTGACCACTGCTCACCCAGAACTTTTTCTCTGCATTGCCACTTTGCATTGTTGCCATTTTTGTAACAATGCAAAGTCCTGCCTTAATGAAAACAAAGAAAAGCACAGTGAGCGGCAGAATGGAGGGGACAGGCACAGGACATTTAGACTCAGGCTAACCGCCTAGGCCTTTCCTGGAGCTGGTGACTACGTTTACCACAAAATCCCAGGTGAAGCTGACAACACTTTGGACTAGCAAGGATTTACATGCACCCAGAGACTCAAGTTCAACCCTCTTACTCGACCTTCCGGACGATGAGAACGCAGAAAGCAGCTCCGGCCCGAGGGACTAAGTAAAAGATGCAGAGGAGGAAGCACATACGCGGAGAGGGCTCGGGGGCGCTCTCAGACAAGGAGGCGATCGCGGGGCACAGGAAGACCCCACCTCGGGAAAGTAGCGCAGCTCTAGAGCAACTCAAAGAGGGCGGCGAAACCAGAACTGCGTCCGAGGGCAGAAGCAGCGCATTTGAAAACCCGAGTCAAAGACACAGAGGACGGCAATAAATACAAAACGCACCTTACAACCACAGATAATCTGCGAAACGTGGATACTGGCCTGCCTACCCGCACTTCCGTTTCCGATGTTTGGGATGCTTGCAGTGAAAGGGCGGGATTTCCGTGGGCGGAGCAAGAAAGCTCAATTCAATGACCTTGGGGTTTCCTTGGCTTTCCATTGACTATGGGCTCTGAAGCCTGCTGTCTTTATTTCCTGTGTATAGAAATGCCTGTTGTTATGTGCAATCCAGTCCTTTCTGACTCATATACAACAGAATGAAACACGGCCTGGTCTTAACGCCATCCTCACAATTACTTTTATGTTTGAGGCCACTTTTGCAGCAACCGTGTTAATCCAGCTCATTGAGGTATTTTCCACTTTACCAAGCATGACTTCCATCTGCAAGTACTGGGAGTCCTGGTGTAGTTCTGTAGGATAAGCACTCGATTGCTAACCACAAGGTTGGCGGTTCAAACCCACCAGCAGCTCCTCGGAAACCCTACTAAATGGCACTTAAGCATGATTTCCATCTACAAGGACTAGTCCTTTCCTGTAACATGTCCAAAGTACACGAGAAGAAGTCTCTCCATGCTGGCTTCTAAGGGCCATTCTGGCTGTATTTCTTAGAAGATAGATTTGTTCGTTATTCTGGCATCCCAGTATACTCTATTCTTCACCAGCAGCTCATAATTACTCATAATTCACAGGTCTCTATGTAATTTAGTGTACTATGTTGATTTCTTTCTACCTTTTTCAATCAAAATGGCAGCCTTCCATATCGAGTGCAATCTTAGGGAACCAATTAGCTCTTCAATGGCCATTCAAGAGCTATTCATTGGGCACTGCATACATGGTGGCAATAACATCTATCAGGATCTTTCAGTTGTTGACTATACTCTTTTCTTCCAGGCAGCTGTTGGTACCATTTTAAAGTACAACCTCTTTGGCAATTTTTGAGGCAATTGAAGACCATGGAGGTGCCTGAAATTCTCTTCACTTTTTACCCCATTGAGACCCCGCAGTGTGTCCTTACAGAGTGCTCTTTGAACACGGCAGTATGTATGTCAACAGCCCTTGGAAAAGAGCATGCAGCTGAACCCTTCAAAGCACCTCCCTATGGAAAAATTTCCTTAATAACTGTCTCTCGATGGGTCTGCAGTGCTGCAGTTGTCCACTTTGGGGTTGCACAAGCATATTATGCAAGAACATCTATAAACTGCCCCAAATATCCTCTTCCTCAGTAAACTAACCACATGGAACTCATGATGACAAGAGTGCAGATTGAAAGATAAGACACAATGCAGTGTGAATAGGAGTCCTGGAAATCATCCTCATGTGACTTGTTGTTGTTGTTGTTGTTAACTGCCATCGAGTCGATTCTGACCCATAGCAACCCTGTATAGAGTTTCTCAGGAGCAGGCTGGTGAGCTTGAGCCACTGACCTTGCAGTTCAAATGACTTTGCTGTCTGACGCATTAGCCCACAGTGCCACACTTCAGCCAAATTTTATACAAATCACTTCTACTTGATGATATATGCTGTTGCAAACCCAAAATTATGATCTAATAGGTCAGAAAACACCCAATCAGTGATTCATAAATTAGGTCATATACAAAACTTGGTGGCCCATGATCAAGGGTCCTGGAACAAACCAGACACTGTTTCTCAAAAGGAGAAGAGTTATCTGCAAAGAGTGGCATGGCTTGGCTCCTTGATTCTAAAGGTCTGTTACGTGATTTCCCTACCAAAGGTTCCATTGAGCATTCCTCTTACATCAAGCACTGTCATGTCTGGTGGGTCCTCTGGCAGCTTGAGATCTGTCAGAGCCTTCTCCTGTTCTGTGCTCCCTTTGGAACTGGTAGGTGTTGGGGTTAATCAGAAAATGGGTCAGTGTGACAAACCCAAATGAAATGCATGCTGTTTCTAATATCCAAAGAGGCCTACTAGACCTGGAACTTCTTTCTAAGCGGTATGATCAGGAATAGCTGCAACAGCTTGTAAACATTACAGTCAAGAACACCCTTTGCAGCAGTTCTACTCTGTAACACATGGATGTCAGAATCAACTCCTTGGAAACAGGTTTGGGGTTTTCATTTTGATCAACCAGGAGAGTCTGTGCTCTGTTTAAGCAATTTACCAAATTATCTATCTTCCTTTTCCCTGTTTGTGATAATGGTTTCCTCTTCCCATCCACTGTTCACATCATAGGGATGGCTTGTAGCAGGCCGGAAGTGGCAACTGATTGAAGATGGACCAATCAGAGTGCGGCCTTTTGTCTCACTTGTACTTGTTAACCCTAAACAAGCTGTTGTTGAAGGTGATGGTGTGCCATGGAGTCATTTCTGACTTATAGGGACTCTGCATAGCGATTCCAAGGCTGTAAATCTTTATGAGGCAGAAATTCTCATCTTTCTCCTAAGGAACAGCTGGTAGTTTCGAACAGCTGGCCTTAGGGTTAGTAGCGCCACATGTACCAATAGTCACTTCATTTTTTTTTTTTTTTTTGTCATATTGACTGGGAAATCAGCCACAATGTTGTTGTTGTTGTTGTTAGGTGCCATCAAGTCGGCACCAACTCATAGCCATCCTATGCACAGCAAATGAAACACTGACCGATCCTGGGCCAACCTCACTACTGTTGCCACACTCAAGTCCATCAATGTTGCCACTTGGCCAATCCATCTCGTTGGGAGGTCTTCCTCTTCTTCTCTAACCCTTCACCTTACCAAACATGATATCCTTCTCCAGTGACTGGTCCCTCCTGACAATATGTCTGAAGTAAGAGAAACGAAGTTAGGCCATCCTGGCCTCTAAGGAGCACTCTGGCTACACTTCTTCCAAAACAGATCCATTGGTTCTTTTGGCAGCCTATGGTACTTTCAATATTCTCCTCCAGCACCTTAACTCAAAAGCACCAATTCTTTGTAAAGAACATGATAATGAGATCCACATTCTATTGGGTCCCCTCTCTTTGGAATGGGCACAAATACGAATCTCTTCCAATCAGTCGGCCAGAAGAAACCAAGTGCATACTTTGTTGATTGTAAAACTAATGTTTGTAAACCTTCACTCAATTCACACACACACACACACACACACACACACACACACAATATCTAACCATAACAGTGGTTTCCAAGGGGATCTGCTGGGTGAGTTAAATTCAAGGCAAAGGACCCGAAGTTTTGGTGACTGTATTTTTGGATTCCAAAAGGGTAATCTTGATAGATTTTCTTAGAGGACACAGGATGATCATGAAAGTTTATAAGGAAGAAGTTCTAAGACAACTGAAAACTGCATTATTGAGAAAAAGGTCAAGAAAGCTATCCAAGGAATTTTTTCCCCATCATGACAATGCATATGCTCATTCTTTGAGGATAGTTGTGGCTGTCCTGTGAGAATTTGTTGGAAAACCTTACCCCATTCCCCCTATATTCCTTATCTTGCCCCTTCAAACTTCTTTTCCGTTACCAAAACTCAAAACACCATTGAAAAGTAAGAGCAGTTGAATCCTTTGATGACGATGAACTGTTGTTTTGAGGTGGTGTAATTTGAAGAGTGCAGAATCTTTGGGGGAAAGGTTAGAGAGGTGGACACACTGTCTTCGGAAGGTGGTGGGTATACCTAAGCAGAGGATATGTCAGGGAACAATAGATTCACATTTTGATATTTCTGTTTAATAATAAAAGATTCTGATTTTGTAGGAATACCTTCTTTTCTACGTTGTTTTTGGGGGAATAAGAATAAAGAATTAGGGTTGGAACTATGACTAAGTCTAGGCTAGGCCTAGATCTTCATTTATGGTTATGGTTATTGTTAGAACTAAAGTTAGTGTTGGCACCCTAGTGGCATAGTGGTTTTTTATATTGGGCTGCTAACCACAATTTCAGCAGTTGAATCTACCAACTGCTCCATGAAAGAAATATAAAGCTTTCTGGTTTTATAAAAGTTTATAGTCTTGCTTTCTCCTCCCTGGCTGCCTGAGTGTCTGCCGCCATCATGAACGACATAGTAACTATCCGGAAAAGGAAATTCATGACCAACCAACTCCTTCAGCGGAAACAAATGGTCATTGATGTCCTTCACCCCGGGAAGGCAACAGTACCTAAGACAGAAATTTGGGAAAAACTTGCCAAAATGTATAAGATGACACCAGATGTCAATCTTTGTGTTTGGATTCAGAACCCATTTTGGTAGTGGCAAGACTACTGGCTTCGGCATGATTTACGATTCCTTGAATTATGCAAAGAAAAATGAACCCAAACACAGACTTGCAAGACATGGCCTGTATGAGAAGAAGTAAACCTCATGAAAATAGCGTAAGGAACGTAAAAACAGAAGGAAGAAAGTCAGGGGGACTGCAAAGGCCAATGTTGGTGCTGGCAAAAAAGAAGGAATAAATATTCTGTGATGACTGTGGATTTTTCACCAGAGGATTAATAAACCCTAAAATCTTTTTTTTTTTTAAAGTTTATAGTCTTGAAAACCCTACATAGGGTTGCTATGAGTTGAATACGACTCAAAAGTAAACAATTGGGTTAGCGGTAGGGGTAAAAGTTGGGCAAGAGCTAAAAATAAAGTTTGGACTAGATTTTAGAGTTCCAGTTAAGTTTATTTATTGTTTTTTATTTTTATCTTGAAATCTACTTCATTTCCTCTTCATTTGAAATTTCTGTAACTATATTACTTCCTCTTTTTAAGCTATTTTGTTGTTGTTGTAAACTGGTATTTCCGGTTCTTTAAGAGCTCTGGTAGCGTAGTGGGTACGAATCGGGCTGCGAACCTTAAGGTCAGCGGTTTGAAACTACCAGACGCTCCATGGGAGAAAGATGAGGCTTTCTACTCCCGTAAAGATTTACACCCTCGGAAACCCTGTACAGGGTCGCAACCGACTTGACGGCACTTAACAACAACAACAACAAGCTTAACTTTGGAAGACATACACAGAGTCACTGTACCAAAAACAAATGGTTGGTGATAAAAGGTTTCAACAGGTAACATGTAATTAATAACCAATAGTCCTGAAGAACCAAGTCCATGCAGTATGGAAAGCATTGGTTAAAGGCAAGGTTCCATACCTGAGCCTATGGACAGGGACACAGCCACAGAGGGTTATAGCTAAGAGCGAAGCATCCAGCTGATATGAAGGGAGGGGAAATGCACAAGAACACCCAAACTTGCACATAGTACCCATTTGACCTAGCCTCAATAATTAGATAATCAGAACTCAACTAGAGGAAGGTTTAAAAAAAAAAAAATTTTTTTTTTTGATAAAGGAAACGAGGGTAAATTGCTACAACTTGATTGGCTACCTAAAATGAGGGGGCGATAAAGGCACAAATTGACTGGTTTACAAGGTCTCAAGGGGGAGTTATGTTTAAGAATATGGGGGAGAAGGAAGAGTCCCCACTGAACAGTTTTCATTTTGTCTAGATGGGTCTGGTAAAAAGAGATATGGGTAAGATTCTTATGATTCATTAGTAATTGTTATCATGACTAATTGTGATTGGCACAATTGTAAAGGTAGAAGGTTTGTAACAAAAATGGGGGAGTAGTTAATCTTACAGTCCAGAAACAAAGGGCCCTAGGATCATCAAGGGAGAAGAGCACAGGTGGAATCCAAGACCTTATCCAGAGAAGCAGGGACACCAGTGATGGAGGCAAAGATGGAGGCATGGAGAGAGGGAGCAGCTGAGGACTCAAGATTCATGGGAAGAGAGGGACTAAGAGATGGTGGCCGGGAAGCAGACTTGAAGAATGTACCCTTTGCTGGTGTAAATTATTATATAGGCCTGAGTGTTAAAAAAAAAAAAAAAGAGAGAGAGAGAGAGAGAGAGAGACAGAGAGCTAAAGTGAATAGAGAAAAATACTGTTAACTGATGGTATATGAAGGGGATTATAATCATTGTGATGAAACAAGGTGTGTGATTTGTTGAATGTAAAACTAGTGATCTGCCCTGTAAACTTCCACTCAATCCACAAAAAAAAAACCTTAAAACAAACAAACAAAAAACAAGGCTCCAATAATTGATGGAATACAAGTTGAAATCTTTCAACAAACTGATGTAGAACTGGAAGTGCTCACTCATCTATGCCAAGAAATTTGGAAGACAACTACCTGGCCAATTGATTGGAAAAGAACCATATTTGTGCCCATTCTAAAGAGAGGTGAGCCAACAGATTGTGGAAATCATAGAACAATATCCTCAAAATTACATACAAGCAAAATTTTGCTAAAGATAATCCAAAAATTGTTGCAACCGAATATTGTCAGGGCACTGCCAGAAATTCAAGTCAGATTCAGAAGAAGACATGGAATTAGGGATATCATTGCTGAAGTCAGATGGAGCTTGGCAGCAAGCAGAGAATACCAGAAAGAAGTGTTGCTGTTGTTAAGTGCTGTTGACTCAGTTCTGACTCATGGCCATCCAGTATAGGGTTTTCAAGGAGTGATTGGTGACCCTGAACCTCTGACCTTGTGGTTCACACCGACCTTGCAGCCCTGTGCTTATCCTACTGTACCACATTGAGCCTTATTCACTATGTAAAAGTTTTCCACTGTGTGGACCATGACGAACTGTGAATTGCACTGCAAAGAATGGGTATTCCAGAACACTTGATTGGGCTCAGAAGGAACCTGGACACAAAAAAAGAAGCATTTGCTAGAAAAGAGCAAGGGGATACTGAGTGGTTTAAAATCAGGAAAGATGCACACCAAGGTTGTTTCCTTTCTCTATACTATTCTATACTATATGCTGAGCAAATAATTCAAGAAGGTGGGTTACATAAAGAGGAATTTAGCATTAGAATATAGCATAGACTACTCAACAACCTGTTATATGCAGATGATACAACCTTGCCTGCTGAAAGTGAAGAGGATTTAAAATACTTACTAATGGAGATAAAAAAAATCACAGCCTTCAGTATGTATTGCACCTCAAGTGTAAAAAACAAAGATCTTTACAACTGAACCAATAAAGAGCAACATGACAAATGGAGAAAAAAAATGAAGTTTTCAGACTTCATTTTGTTTGGCTCCATAATCAACATGAAAGCAGCAGTCAAGACATCAAAGGATGTATTGCATTAGGTAAATCTGCTGTAGGAAACCTTTTTAAAGTATTAGAGCAAAGATGTCAGGTTGAGGACTAAAGTGCTCTTGACCTAAGCCATGGTATTTTCAATAGTCTTACGTGCATACGAAAGCTGGACAGCAAATAAGGAAGACTGCAGAAGAATTGATGCTTTTGAGTTATGGTGTTGGAGGAGTATATTGAAAGTGCCATGGGCTGCCCATAGAACCTATAGATCTGTGTTGGAAGAAGTGCAGTCAGAGTGCTCCTTGGAGGCCAAGATGGCCAAACTTCGCCTCTCATACTTCGGACATATTGACAGGAGGGACCAGTTGCTGGAGAAGGATATTATGTTTGGTAAGGTGGAGGGTCAGAGAAAAAGAGGAAGACCTCCAGCAAGATGGATTGGCAAAATGGCAGAATCAATGGGCTCAAGTGTGGCAACAGTACTGAGGTTGGCCCAGGATCGGGCAGTGTTTTGTTCTGCTGTGTATAAGGTTGCTATGAGTCGGTACTGACTCAAATGCACCTAACAACACCACCAATGTGCATGTTAGAGCTGGACAATGAATAAAGAAGACTGTAGAAAAACTGATACATTTGAGCTGAGGTGTTGGAGAAGAACTATTAAAAGTACTATGGGTTGCTAGAAGAACAAACAAATCTGTATTGGAAGAAGTACAGACAGAATACTCTTTATAAACCAATATGGCAAAACTTCATCTCTGATACAATACATATATTATCATGAAGGACCAGTCCTAAAAGAAGGATAACACGCTTGACAAATTGGAGGGTCAGAGAAAAAGCGGAAGACCCCCAACCAGATGGCGTGGCAAAAGGGCAGTAGCAGTGGGCTCAAATGTAACAATAATTGTGAGGTTGATGCAGGACTGGGCAGTATTTTGTTCTGTTGTACATAGGGTTGGTATGAATCAGAATCAACTCCATGGCACATAACTACAGAAACAACAACAGAGATCAACATTCATTGTTGGTTATGGGAGGGAAAGGAGCTTCATCCTTTAGAAAGTAGTCACTTTTAATTGAAAAGGAAAAGGTAGCACCTGAATGTGGGAGAACTGGGCACAGCTTACCCAAGGTAATTGATACCATTAACTTGTGCATATGGCTGCAGGGCTGTTATATTAGCTTCATAGGAATGGAATAGTTAGGATGGAATCCATGAGAATTCTCATACAATGGAATGCATATAACCAATGTCACAGAACTAGATGGGTAGCAATTGTGGAGGGGGAATCTGTTAATCTGTTTTACTGTGTACACTCTACAGAAAATACATTAAAATAGTACTTAAAAAATAAAAATAATTGTGATTTTGAAAACTTCATGTATCACAATTTATGAGAAACCAGTGATGAGAAAAAATTAAAAGCAACAAAGACTTTTTGTATAATGGAAAAGAAAAGAATTAGATATTGTGTTCAAACAGAAAAAGACAACCAAAGGTGAAGTGCAGTGGGCTTTGTCTTACATATGGCCTTTCAGGCTTTATGTTTATAATTTTGTCAAAAACAATTGGTTGGGCTTTAGCTTGCTCTGTGATTGGTCTATTTAATGTACCTTACAGATCTATTGTATGCCCCTTCCAGTTTACTATGCAAACAGGGTACCTAAAACCACCCAATAGGGTTAAGTGACTATGTGGGAATTGGTTAATTACTATGCAAATGAAGTGACTGTGGTCTATAAGGAGATTAGTCAGTTATTGGTCCTTGTTGGTGACCATGACATGAAAATGAAAAGGAGTAGGATTATATGAAAGTCAATTTCACAGAATTTTAGGGGGACACCATTACTATCCAGAACAGTCCTTAGCAGAGTGTGTCCCTTGGACCTGGGGTCTCTGTGGTGAACACTGAGATCCAGGAGAGAGAGGTTTAACACTAAAGACTGTAAGAAGTGGCAGCCCCCACAGTAGAGTCCAATGGCAGAAACAGAGGCAGCAGTCCAAGAGAGGAGAAGCACAAGACCAACAGAAGGCTGCTTGTCAGCTTGCTGAGGGAG